GTGGCCAGGTAGGAAGTCAGCCAAAGGCCTCTGTGACGGGGCCCCGCGTGCCTGAGCATGCTCGCATTTTGCGAGTACGGGTCCCCCCTTCTGTGTCCTGTCCGGTGTCCCTGCGTGCCCGCCTCAAGGACCCCTGGCCCCTGCCCCACGTGGCCGTCTGCCCCGAGCGCTCGGTGCCTGCCGACGCCCAGCTGCTGCAAATAGTCCCGGTTAAGCGGGGGAGTTCGAGCGCTGGTTCTGGAAACAAAGTTTGTGGTGCTCATGCGGAGCTCTGGAACGAGCTTGTTTGGGGTATCCCTTTCTCCCCGGAACAGTTTGTCCGCGAGGCGGTTAAAGCCGGCCATCCCAGAACCCTAGAGGTCTCCCTGCCTCAAGTCCTCAAAGATGCTGTGTGCACCCATGCCTCGTTGTCCGAGTCGGAGTTGTGCGGGCTGAGAGCGCGCCAGTTTGCTAAGTGGCTTAAGCTTGCGCAGGACCTCAGGAGCGAGGAAGAAGCGCTGAAGGCCTCGATGCATAAACAGGTCGCTACGATCCTAAAGCCCAAACGTCTCCTCTTGTGGAAGGCGATGATGGTTGAGGCTTCCTACGACGATGTGTCCATCTTCGATGAAGTAATCTCGGGTACTAACCTGGGAGGCCCGGTGCCCGATACAGGCGTGTTTGCCCCGAAGTTCAAGCCGGCGTCAGTCACCGTTGACCAACTCAAAAGAGATGCGCCCACCTCTAGGGCGGCTCTTTTGTCCACCATCAAGTCTCAAGGGGAAGCTCTGGATCGCGAGGTACAGACGAAAACTCTCGAGGAGCGTGACAGGGGCTGGCTGTCAGGTCCCATAGAGGTGGACCAGCTGCCACCTGATGCCATAGTGTCACGACGGTTCGGGATCGAGCAGGATGGAAAAATCAGATTGATTGACGACTTCTCGGGGTCGGGAGTCAACAGCTCCGTGGAGACGTCGGAGACCGTGCGCCCCCAGACCGTCGACGTCATCGCAGGCTTGTGCCTGTCTTTGATGCGAGCGCAACCAGGGTGTAGTCTCAAGGGAAGGTTCTATGACCTGGTTAGTGCCTACAGGCAGCTGGCTTTGGACCCTGCAGGGGCCTGGGCTTCGTACATTGGGCTGTGGGATCCTGATCTGAAGAGGGTAGTGGTGTTTCAGCTGCACGCACTCCCTTTCGGGGCAGTCAAGTCAGTGTCGACTTTTCTGAGGACCGTTAACTCGGTATGGCACCTTGGCGCATTCTTCTTCGCCCTTTGCTGGTCCCACTACTTTGACGACTTCGTGTCGGTTGCTAGAGGCTCGCAGGTGGCTAATGTGCACCAAACAATCACCTTGCTCTTCGCCCTGTTGGGTTGGGACCTGGCCCAAGGTGGGAAAAAGGATGTGCCGTTTGCGGAAACCTTTTGTGCATCAGGGGTTGACATAGTGCTGTCGAGCGCCCACTTGGGTCGTGTGACCATTTGCAACACGGAAAAGAGAGTTCAGCTCCTCGTAGAGACTATGAAGCAGGCCCAGAAAGACCGATGCATGAGTGCGCCTCAAGCACTCAAGCTAAGGGGTAAGCTCCAGTTTGCAAGTGGACAGCTGTTTGGGCGTCAAAGTAAGTTTTGCATGCAGCAGCTTTCTGATTACGCCCATGGGGGTGCCCCTCCTGATCTGCCGACGGAGTGCATTGATACTTTCACCTCGCTGGTCGACATGTTGGACAGTGGACGCCCTAGGCTAGTCCAAGTCAACAAACAGCAAACCTGGTATGTCTTCACTGATGCATCCTATTCGAAGGATGACCCCGTGCTGCCTTGTGGTGTTGGTGGTCTCCTGTTTGATGATAAGGGTGTGTTGGTTGCTGGTTTCTCCCACGCCCTTGACAGTGACGTCCGGAAGCTCCTGGGTGAGATCAACAAAGACACGATCATAATGGAGGCTGAGTTTGTTGCGGTGCTGCTTGCGTTCCGTCTTTGGGGCAAAAGGGTTGCGAATTCTCCTGTTGTGGCTTTCATCGACAACAACTCCGTCAGGGACATTTTGATCTCATGCAGGGGCAGGTCCCCTACTATGAAAAGCCTGCTTAAAATGTTCGTGAGCTTGGAGGTGGGGTGTGAGTTCATCCCTTGGTTCTCACGCGTTCCTTCCCCATCAAACTGTGCGGATCTCCCGTCGAGGATGGTGTCCAAGCTCTTGTTGTGGGGTGGCATCAGTGTCCCGTGTTCCGATGTGTCGGAGCACCTGGAGGCCATATGCTTGGGGATGTCGGCTAATAAGGGGGCTTGAGGTTCGTTTGTGTATGGTGAGACGCATGTGCAATGTATGTGCACCGCGCTGTGTGCACCGGCACATGATTGAATGCGATCTTTGATTCGCCCACTGATGAAAAGAAGAAGAGGGACATGCAGTGCTCGTTCTGAGTTTTGCCTCTCCTGTGGGATCTTGGCTTTTGGGTTCAAACCGAATTTGGCACAAGCGATAAGCTTACTGTTCGCGAGCGAATGGTGTTTTATCGATTGCTGCCAAATTGTCTCTAAGAAAAACGGGGTGCCGTTTGGTCTTGGTTTGAAGCCCAAAAGTTTCTGACGCTTGTCTTGCTTGGTATGCCAACGATGATTTGCAATTGCATGTGCAGGAAGATGTGTGTGCAGCACTGGCTCTTCAGCTCAGTGCCAAAAATTTTGACCCGCCCAGCCCACCCAGGGCATCGCAGTAGCAGGGCCCGCCGCGGCGGCTGCAACTCCCTGCGTGCCATCGGCACTCCCATTGGACTTGTGTGTACAGGTGCCTCGCCCTTAAAGGGGGCTTGAGGTTCGTTTGTGTATGGTGAGACGCATGTGCAATGTATGTGCACCGCGCTGTGTGCACCGGCACATGATTGAATGCGATCTTTGATTCGCCCACTGATGAAAAGAAGAAGAGGGACATGCAGTGCTCGTTCTGAGTTTTGCCTCTCCTGTGGGATCTTGGCTTTTGGGTTCAAACCGAATTTGGCACAAGCGATAAGTTTCAAGATGAGAAGGAAGCCAGAACAAAGGAGGGAGTACCCGTTCTGCTGGCAACTTTCAGGAACTTTGTTTTCGCTTTTGTTGACTAGCTTCGAAGGCGGGGTGTTAAACATCTACGCAGTACAGGAAGCTGTGCACCAGGTGCATGTGGAATGCACACCAGAGCCTCGGAACGTCTTGTCGACGACAGGCTCGAACAAGGACACACACCACAGCGAACCCAGGAAAAGTGCGGAGTGTCCCAGCTTTTCAGGTAGCTTTAGATTGACCCTATCTTTGACAGCCATCCTCAGCTTTCCTCAAGACTGCAGGAAGCTCCGCGCTGAATGCACGCTGAGGTCTGTCACAATGCAGAGGCCAACCATGCAAGCACGAATTCTCAACGACCGTCCCAAACCGAAACACCCTCAACCCAAGCAATCAAATCCGAAGCATGAAATCCAGGTGTTCAGGCCCCTGGCATTGAACGAGGAGGACTCGCCTTCAGATCAATCTGCGCAGCCTAAACAGGTCACAAGAATCTTCCCTTTTTCAGGGTGCAACTAGACGACAGTGGACCCCAAAACCCTATGCCGCCGAAACCTAAACCGAAAACCCTCGCAGCTTTGTGGCGCCGGCGTTGGATTCTGGGCTCCACCAGCGGTTTCTCCACAGACAGCTCTGTTTGCCAGCAGCCTCATCGCCACTTTTTCTATGTCTTCAAGCACAGCAAGGCTGTACAATGAATGTTCCCACCACCGTCCCTCTGGAGTTTAAGTCTTGCCTACACGGCTGCGCCAAACTTAAGAAACACCTTGACGCGCACAACGGGTTGAGTCGAAATCCCAGTGGTGGCTCTGCATCAGCGGCTCCCTTTCAGGGCACCCAAGTACCAGCCAGCCAGCAGGGCACCCAAGTAGCAAGCAGCACCAGCCACGAGCACCAGGCCCAGTAAGTAGGGCACCCACGTAGCAAGCAGCACCAGCCAGCAGCACCAGGCCCAGCAGGGCCGTGTGGGTTGGTCCGCCTCCGGGGCACCGGTAGTCACAGGCGGCCAAATCCTGCGACGGCGCCCTTGAGCCTACCACACGCTGTGGTCCACACACAGCTCAGGGTCCTTCACGGTCGGAGGCGAGCGAGGCCTTTGCAATTACTTTGTGGGGCGAAACTATCTCCGCTTCGCGTGGTTCTAGACTTTTGATTTTTTTAATCTGTGTGTTTTTTTTTCAGAAGGTGCAGAAAGATGCCGTTTTTGCAAAAATTATGCGTTTACAGCTTTTCCTATGCAAATTATTCACATGGTGTTCACGAAGTGGCATTTTCGCACGTTCTGTCGGTGTTTTTTAGGTTAGTTAGGACGTGTAAATAGTGCAACACACACGTGTTCTGCATTATTCTCACGGGGTTTCACATTGAATTAAACATCCCGAAAAAGGACTTCGCCGTACATGCTCAGCATGTCATTTTTATCGGTCTTTACGAGGGTTTTCAAAGGGAAACAGAGAAACCTAGATGATGTGGGGGGGGGGGGGGGGGGGGTGACCATATTCTATATATATATATGTGTATATATATATATAATATAATATATAATATATAATATATAATATATAATATATAATATATATAATATATAATATATAATATATAATATATAATATATAATATATAATATATAATATATAATATATAATATATAGTATATAATATATAGTATATAATATATAATATATAATATGTAATATGTAATATATAATATATAATGTATAATAAATAATATATAATATATAATATGTAATACATAATATAATATATATATATATTATATGTATCATTCAAGCTCCTCTTTCGGCTCCCCAGACGTGCATTTTAAAGTGGAGCCTCGAGAGAACTGCGTTGGAGTGGCATGAAATCAAGAAGTGGCTGGACAAGTCAACGCTTTAGGCGCAAATCCCTTCAAGCAATTCCTGTAGCATGTGGGGCTCAAGAGCGGTCAGCAGCAGGTGCCAGGGCATTTCTTGACGACAGCATGGCTCTGCGGCTTTTTTCATGGATGTCGCTGGCCGCGGCGTGGCAAGGCTCGTGGGCATGGGAAGTCACCTCCGGGCTTTGCAGTGTCGGCGATGATGGATGCATCGTCAGCACGAATTTTCCGAATGAGTACCCCAATGACGACACCTGCGTCATCGAGGTCGAACCTGGTGAAGGGAAGTCCTTGGAGGTGTTGGCTTTCTCAACGGAAGCTGGTCGAGACACGGTGCAAGTGAATGGCATCGACTTCTCCGGCACGGAAGGCCCGGAGGGCCTGGTACCAGCAGGATCCATCTTGTGGCGTTCAGATGGCCTTAGGAAGGGCTCCGGCTGGAAGCTTTGCCTTCGTGAGAAGCCTCCCCTATCACGCCTGCTCCAGAGTGGTGCATCCAACTTTTCGCAAGTGGCCTGCGACTTCGAGGTGGACTTCTGCTCTTGGCAGATGCTCAGCGGCCATCCGTGGCTGGCATTCTCAGGTCCAACTCCTACGGCACTCACTGGACCAGATGCAGCGTTCGAGGGCAACCGGTACGTCTATGCAGAAACTGATTTGCTCGACTCTTCTTCCTCACCTTCATATACTTATGGCTACGGCTATGGCTATGGCTATGGCTATGGCTATGGCTACGGGCAGACTGGCGCTGGGCCGACGGAGATCGCGCCGGAGTTCATCCTATCCAGCCATGTCTTCGTGCCATCGTCGGCGTCCAGGTACCTGCACTTCTCCTACCACATGCGTGGCTACGACATCCAGTCCCTGCGGCTTGAAGGCTGGGAAGATGGTTGGACGCCGCTTTGGAGTCGTCAGGGGCCGCAAGGCTCTTCATGGGGCATCGGTTTAGTCAGTGTGCCGCCCAATGTGGTGGCACTGCGGTTCGTCAGTGACATGCGCAATCTCTTTTTGGGCCAGTATGGCCTGTGGCTCAGTGACATGGCCTTGGACGCCATCGGCACCGGTGTGCCGACTGTGGACTTCAATCAGCTCTCATGCAATTTCGAGTTCGACGTGTGCCTGTGGCTCAACACAGGCAATTCCGCATGGCAGCGCGTGACTTCAGATGGGGCAGACTGGTCTCTCGAAGCCGCAACCACATCGGAGACCCAGCAATTCATCCTGGAGACATTGGCAGCATTCAACATCACAGAGGAGAAAGCCTTGATCTTCGACTTCCAGCTCTTTGGCTCAATCTCGGCGTCATTGAAAGTGGAGCGGAAGACGACGGAAACAGACTGGCAGAGCCTGTTCACAGACTCGGGCGGTCGTGATGATGCCATGTGGCGCCCAGCACTTGTTCGTGTCCCGCCAGGCACTGTGGCCCTCCGCGTGTCAGCTGTGGGAGCTGCAGGGGATGTCGTGCGTTTGCAGTCTTTGCAAGCAGTGGACGTGGTTCCAAGCGTCGCGCATGTCACTTGCAGCTTTGAGGCAGATCTGTGTGGCTGGTCCACGGCCGGGGGACTTCCGTGGCTACGAGAAACTTCCTCGATATGGACGAATACTGGGCCGCAGCAGGCAGCCGACAATGGCCTGTGGTACATCTACGCACCAGCTTGGCAGCCCACTCAGCCAAACTATAACAAGGACTTTGTCCTCACAAGCCCTGTCTTCGGGCCGGCAGCCACATCCACCAGAGAATTCCATTTTTCATACAACATGTATGGGGTTTCCATGGGGAGCCTGCGCTTGGAAAGTTGGGCAGCAGGAAACTGGACGCCTTTGTGGACCCGTCAGGGCGATCAGGGCATGCAGTGGGGCATGAGTCTCGTTAGACTTCCATCGGATTCTGAATCCCTGCGCTTCGTCGCGGTCATCGGAAACTCTGACAGCAGTGATATGGCCCTCGACGCCATTGGCGTCGGGCTGCCAAGTGTGAGCATTCGGCAACTTTCCTGCCGCTTCTTGCTCGACAAGTGCCTCTGGGTCGATTCGGGTGAGACTTCGTGGCGTCACGCCATGGGGGATGCCGGAGCCTGGCTGGAAGCAGGGACGAATTCATCAGAAGCTGAAGAGCACTTCGTGCTGCAGAGCTCATGGATCAATAGCCAAAGGGAGGCCGTTTTGCTCATGGAGTACTGGTTGTCTGGCTCAAACCAGGCAGCAGTGGCGGTGGAGTGGACATCGGCTGTACCGGCTGGCTGGCTGAGTCTCTTTCTGGAGTCTGGTGACTCTGGTGACCTTTGGCACCAAGCAGTGCTCACTGTTCCTGCAAGCGCTGTGGCCCTGCGAGTGTCGGCCAATGTTACCGCTGGAGACACCGTGCGCGTGCGCGAGCTGTGGGCAGAGGAGATGAGAAACTGGTCGGAGATTGCTTGCAGCTTCGAAGTTGACTTTTGCTCCTGGTCCAACCGCGGCTTGCGGCACTGGCTTCGAGCATCAGGACCGACACCTTCGGCGTCCACAGGCCCTGAAACAGCATATGAGGGCAACTGGTACGTTTACACTGAGTCCGACTTCCAGTTTCATCAGGACTTCATTCTACAAACCGCCTTCGAACCTTCAGCCGAAGCCAGGCATCTGCACTTCTCCTACCACATGCGTGGTTACGACATCCACGCACTGCGGCTTGAAGGCTGGGAAGATGGTTGGTGGACGCAGCTTTGGTCTCGTCACTGGCCACAAGGTTCTTCATGGGGCATCGCTGTCGTCAGTGTGCCGCCCAACGCCACAGCGCTACGCTTTGTGGGAAGCACTGGTTTGCTCCCTGAAGCCCAACAGCTCGGTGTGTCGACAAGCGACGTGGCCTTGGACGCCATCGGCACCGGTGTGCCGACTGTGGACTTCAATCAGCTCTCATGCAATTTCGAGTTCGACGTGTGCCTGTGGCTCAGTACAGGCAATTCCTCATGGCAGCGTGTGAAGTCGGATGGGGCAGACTGGTGGCTGGAAGCCGCAAACACGTCGGGGACCCAGCACTTCATCCTGGAGACATTGGCAGCATTCAACATCACAGAGGAGAAAGCCTTGATCTTCGACTATCAGCTCTTTGGCTCAATCTCGGTGTCATTGACAGTGGAGCGGAAGACGACGGAAACAGACTGGCAGAGCCTGTTCACAGACTCGGGCGGTCGTGATGATGCCATGTGGCGCCCAGCTCTTGTTCGTGTCCCGCCAGGCACTGTGGCCCTCCGCGTGTCAGCTGTGGCAGTTGAAGGGGATGTCGTGCGTTTGCAGTCCCTGCAAGCAGTGGATGTGGTGCCAAGTCTCGTACATGTCACTTGCGTCTTCCTGACAGATCTTTGTGGCTGGTCCTCCAGCGGGTCACCTCCATGGCTTCGGCGTTCGTCGACTTTTTGGACGAATGCAAACATCGGACCAGAAGAGGCATTCATTGGCGGGTGGTACATACACACGCCGGCCGTGCTGATCACAGTGGAGAACGATTCCTTCCGATACTTAGAGAGATTCAACGAGGACTTCGTCCTCTTGAGCCCCGTCTTCGGCTCGTCTTCAGTGGTCAGGTATTTTTCTTTCGTGAGCGCGATGTACCGCCAGGGCCAAGGGAGCCTGCGGCTCGAAAGCTGGAGCAACAACACGTGGACAGAGCTGTGGGCGAGTAGGCCAGATCACGAGACGACGTGGACATGGTCGCTTGTGAGGCTACCCCCTGAAGTTGAGGCCTTGCGCTTCATTGGGGTCACTGGCAGCGTTCTGGACAGTGACATGGCCCTGGACACAGTCTACGGGGGAATCCCAACCCTAACGTTTGACAACCATATCCCTTGCGATTTCGAGTGGGATGGCAGTTGTTTTTGGCTTGACTTTGGTGTCACTGCCACATGGCGGCGTACCAATGTGCAAGCCCAAAGCACATGTCAGGTGACGGCTGAAAGTGCGGATTCAGGGGACTGGTGGCTTGAAGCTTCAGGGAGTTCCCAAGCACCTTTCATCTTGGAGACTGCACCTTTCACCAGCATGCTCGTTGAGATGAAGGCCCTGGAATTTGCGTATCAGCTGGTGGGTTCAGTGTCATTGGAGGTGGAGATGCAGACCGCTGCAGGCTGGCAGAGCCTTTTTCTGGAGTCGGGCGGCGGCGATGCCACGTGGCGCAGGGGCTATGTCCATTTGCCTGCAGGTACCACGGGCATTCGTTTCGTGGCTCGAACGACAGCCTTGCAGGATGTGGTCAAACTCGACTCAATCTCGCCAGTGAAGCCAACATCCCCCGTTCCGCGATTGGAGGATATCAGCTGCGACTTTGAGGACCCCCTGTTTTGCGGATGGTCGGGTGACACCCGCTGGCGCTACCATAGTGGTCCCAGCGACGGTTTCAATTTCGGTACGGGCCCGGACAGGGCCTTCCGAGAGGACTTCTACGTGTACACCGATTTCTTAGAGTCCAGAAAGCCAGGCACCTTCACCAGCCCCAGCTTCCCCAGACTGGCCACCGAGTGCTACCTCGAGTTTGCGTGCCATATGCTTGGGAGTGGCATTGGTGACCTGAAGCTCCAGTATCTCGCAGGAAGCACTTGGTGGACGCTATGGTCCCGAACAGGCTCCCAGGGCTCAGACTGGTTTCAGATCAAGGTGATGCTGCCGATTGGCACGGAAATGCTGCGCTTCAGGACTTCCAACACGTTAAACGCGGATTCCCACATAGCCCTGGATGCACTAGTTACCTGGCAGCCTGAATCCTCCTCACGGTTCCTGTCCCTCGCATCCGGTGGCTACCACAATTGCGCGCTTCACAGAGCCTCTGGCGAAGTGAAGTGCTGGGGCGATGGGAATCATGGGCGTTTGGGCCGTGGTAGCGATGAGTCGGTGGGCACAGGCCCTGAGCAAATGGGCGCATGGCTGCCACCTGTGGACCTGGGCGAGGGTGCCCGAGCCACGCAGATTTCTTGTGGCTATTATCATACCTGCGCAGTGCTTGAAGGTAAGGGCTTGAAGTGATGGGGAGCCAATTCGGATGGACAACTGGGCCAAGGCCACACAAGGACCGTCGGGGATTCCCCGGGCGAGATGGGAGAGAACCTGCCTGTGGCGGACCTAGGCAGCGATGCAGACATCAAGCAGGTCGTCCTTGGCAATCGTTACACCTGCGTTCTTCTTGATGGCGGGATTGTGAAGTGTTTCGGGCGAGCCCCTGGTTATGGAGATTTGGTTGGCCGTGGCTCGATTCCGGGCCAGATGGGGGAGAACCTCCCGGCCATCGACCTTGGCACGGACTTCGACGTGGTGCAGCTGACGTCAGGCGAGGATCACACTTGCGCATTATCCCGCCAGGGTAATGTGAAGTGCTGGGGTCTTTTCGATGCACGCCTCGGGCTCGGACGCCGGGCCGACTATCAACTTGGTGGCTTTTCTGCTAGCGAGATGGGAGACCGCCTGCCTGCCCTGGATTTGGGACCTGCGGTGCAACTTGATGCCGGGTGGTGGCACACCTGTGCCTTGCTGGCCAATGGCTTCGTGCGGTGTTGGGGCTGGAACGAGAACGGGGAGCTGGGCCATGGCGGCACAGAACGTTTCGGCGATGAGCCAGGCGAGATGGGCGACAGCCTTCCCTTCACACGGCTGGGAGATGGACTGATGGCTGTTCGGGTTGCGGCTGGCGGTTCTCACGGTTGCGCTTTGCTGCAAGATGCGTCTGTAAAATGCTGGGGCTGGGGAGTGAACGGCCAGCTTGGCCAGGGTAGCACTGAAACTTTAGGCGACGAGCCTTGGGAGATGGGCAATGCGCTGCGCTCTGTCAATCTGGCTAACCGCAGAGTGCTGGACTTGAGTCTTGGATTTGCGCACACTTGCGTGCTGCTGGACGATGACAGCACGAGGTGCTGGGGATCCAACTCTGTTGGCGACTTGGGCATCGGTACCACAACCAACGTCGGCGCGATAGCTGGTCAGATGGGCACAGCGCTGCTAGCCACAGAGCTTTTCCCTGTGATGCCTGGCGCTGAGCTTGAAGGTTTCATCTTGACGGGCGATGGCAGTCTCCACGTCCAGTACAATGGCTCCCTTGGGCTCGTCTGCGACGACGGCTTCGATGAGGCCGCCGCGCGTATCGCCTGTCGGGACTTGGGCATGGCCGGGGGCGTCGCCTTTTCAAGCCCTGTAGAAACCGGCGATATCTTTGCAGACAACGTGCGGTGCCTGGGCAGCGAAGTAAGCCTGCGACAGTGCCGTTTCCGAGGGTGGCATCTGCACGACTGCACCCCGCAAGAAGCCGTAGGACTCCAGTGTGAGATGGATGCATGGAGCGACTACACAGTTGCCGGGCCTGCTGAGCGACAGGACCACTCCATGGTCTGGGACCAGAAGACGCAGTCCACGGTGATGTTCGGTGGCCATGCCTCCAGCGCTTTTCTCTACTACGCTGACCTTTGGATCTACCGCTGGAATCTGAGAACCTGGACGCAGATCTTGGCCCAAGACCAAGGGCCCGGCACCAGATCAGGCCACGTGGCCGTTTGGGATGCAGTGTCAAAATCCATGTTGGTTTTTGCAGGAAGGTACCTTGGCACCTTCTATCAGGACATCTGGCGCTTTTACCTCGAGACGAGCTTCTGGGCCAGGGTGTCGGTGACGCAAAACGTCCCCGCAGCCCGTGCTTACCATTCGGCCATCTGGGATGACGAAGCACGGGCCATGATCATTTACGCTGGGGGGGATGGAGAGAACAGAGCAGCACTCCTGAACGATCTCCAACGCTTCAGCTTGGACCAGGAGTCATGGACAACCTTGGCAGAGGGGCCGGGGGCTCGAAGCAGACACACGGCTGTGTGGGATGCTATGACAAAGTCCATGCTTGTCTTTGGCGGGTGGACTGGAGAGCAATACTTGGCCGAACTGCACCGGTATGACGCCTGGGCGAACACCTGGGAGGCACTTCTTGCCGGCTCAGGATTCTGGCCCAGTCCTCGCGGCGGGCACTCTGCTGCCTGGGATCCTGTGTCCATGAGCATGCTTGTTTTCGGCGGCATCCAGAACACAACCTCCACCGACTCGACCGACTCGAGCCTCAGCTACGATGCAAGACTCTTCAACTACACGCTTCTGACCGGTGTCTGGACGGAGGAGGGCCTGCGAGCCTCAGTCCCAGGTCCGAAAGGCCGCACCGGCCAGGCCACCGTTTGGGACCAGGAGTCTCGCGGACTTATCTCCTTTGCCGGCTTCGACTCCTCCTACTTGAGTGAAACCTGGCGCTACGTGGTGAGCCAGACGCAGCCTCCGTTGCTGGCGAGGTGTCATCTGGGCCAAGAGTGCGCACCAGCTCAAAATGACAGCATACTGGCTTCAGCGACTGCAAAGCATCTCTGTTCCGATCCCGAGGCCTTGGACACCCACGACGACTCGGGTGGCTTAGACAATCACTCAGGTGCATCACCCCTCTTCATCGAGCCAGGACACCATCGTTTCTGTGGGTGCGATGCAAACTGCAGCCATCCAGCAGATTTTCAAATTGACCTGGGCCACTTCATTGTGGAAGGGCCCTACCTCAACCAGTCCGCTCAGTGCGACCTCGGCTCCGTGTGCATCATCTCCGAATGGCGTGGAGTGGGCATTGCGGTGAACGACAGCGTTATTTTGCAAAGCAAGTGCAGGACCAAGGAGGCATCTGCCCATCATCGCCGCGCCGACATCTCCTTCAACGAGTCCATGAGCTGGTTCGAGCTGCATGTGGGCTTTTTGGACAACGGGATCGGGCCCCAAGTTGTGGAGCTTTGCTGGTGCCCGGCTAGCCGGCCATGTGCGTCTGCGCAGGAGTTTTTGGTCACGGCCCTGCAACTGCGTCTCGTTTGCCCACCTGGGCAGTATGAGCTCTCTGAGGCATGCCAGGCCTGTCCTGTGGATCACTACTGTCCCGGCGGTGAGCAGGTCTACAGCTGCCCAGCCGCCAGCACGGCCCCGGCCGGCTCAAGCCAGCTCAGCGACTGCAAATGCCTGAAAGGGCGCTACTGGGATGCCGGCGCCTGCCGAATCTGCCCTGCAGGATCGACGACCTCCCACGAAGGAGCTCGGGACCAAAACGCCTTCGGAGTTTATAGCAGACCTCGGGACTCAGAACATCTAAAGTTTAGGAATCTAGATATGCTTGAACACTTCGGTTCAGGCGGATTTACTTTGTAGCCATGTAAACACGTGGGCGCTTTGAACAGCGTTGCAGCAGTATAAGCCGTTGAAGCACTTTCAGCTGCAGGCTGCTTTGTTCAAACACGAGCTGTAAACGTAACCGTAGATGCTTGAAGAGGTTAAAGCTTAAGACACAACCCTAAGGAGCTACAGCCTTGACTTCCTGCACGTGCATGCCGGGCTATGTCAACAGCCAACCTGAAGAGCCTTCGGCATGCGAAGAGTGTGGTCTCGGATTTTTCTGCATGGGCGGTACGCACAAGCAGCCCTGTGCCCCCTCTCAGACCACGGCGGGTCCTACAGCTGGTGATGAATCCCAGTGCCTGTGCATGGCGGGCACCTTCCCCGAAGACGATGGACATTGTGTTCCTTGTGCAGTTGGCCATTTCAAGGACAGCATTGGCAATGTGCCTTGCTCTGAGTGCGGCCCTGGAACGTTCAGCAACACCACAGGGGCCACCGAGGAGTGCAAATGCAGTTATGGCTACGGTTACGACGATGCAGAAGCTGGCTGCATAGCCTGCCCAGCAGGTGAGTACAAAGCAAGAGTGGGGAACCTCCGCTGCGACAGGTGCTCTGTTGACAAGTTGTCTGTGAAGGCTGCTACCTCGGCACTGGACTGCCTTTGCCGGCCGGGGACGACAGCAGAAGGTGATGGCTGCCGTGACTGCTCACCAGGTCACTTTTGCAACGGCACTGGAGAGGAGCTGCACTGCCCGACGGGCTCAACTTCACCTGCTGGCTCAAGCGACGAGCTTGACTGCCTTTGCTTAGAAGGGCACTACAGCTTGCAGTCTGGCTCGCGGCTTAGCTGTGAACCGTGCCAAGCCGGGCGCTATAAGCCCACAACTGCCAATCAGCCAATCTGCCCCTCTCAATGCCCTACCAACTCCGACAGCCCAAACGCATCCACGAGCCTGTCTAACTGCTCTTGTGTGGCTGGGTTTTATGCAGAGCTTGATGAAGACGGCTTCTTGGTACGTTGTGCCAGTTGCTTGTCCTTCACTCACCTGAGCTGTTCTGGCGGATTTTACGAGCAGACAGACCGCCACCGCCTTCCCGTCGCACGACCTGGCTATTTCCAAACGGCCCCCACCACCGCCATCAAGTGCAACATCGTTATGGACGATGAGCTTAGCGCTTGCCTGGGAGGCGGTTCGTGTGCAGACGTTAGTGCGGGACTAGAATGCGTGGGGAAGTATGGCAATGTCTGCGCGGAAGGCTCCACGGGCTTCCTTTGCGGAGAGTGCCCGCTTGGTTGGGCGAGGAACTATTGGAAAGAGCCCTGCAGATTTTGCATGCCAGCCAGCTGGCCGCTGATCCTGTCAATTCTATTTGATGTTGGCACGAAGGTGATCCTAAACTTCGTCGTCGCATCTTTGGCGGCCACGGCTGCAGTTCGTGGCAGTGGCAAGCTACATGCCATAATGATCCGCATTGCTACACAGTGGTTGGCTGCCTGCTCCGTCGTCGCGACCTTGGATCTGGACCAGATGTCACCTGTGCAAATGCGGGACCTTGATGGCCCGGAAGGTGAAGTCGGCTTGTTTGCATGGCCGGTGGAAGTGACTGTCGCAATGCTGCGTTTGTTCGAGTTTCTTACTCTGACGCCTGTTCTCACCACCGTCGACCTGGATGCCCAATGCTTCTCGCAAGAAGTCTCCGAGAACCCAGCCGCACCTCGAATCGCTCTCGGCATCTACTACCTCTCGCTGCCCTTGCTAGTGATGCTGGGCTCAGTCCTGCTGTCCTGGGCAGCAGTGCGATTGCTGGTCCCGCTGGCGAACCGAATCGGATTCTCCTTCAATGAGGCTGGGCGCCGCCGGCACAAGCGGGCCAAGGCTTTGGAGGAGTTGCTTCGGGCCATCCAACCCGAGCTGCGCAGTGCCCAAGTAGACCTGTCCTGGGAGGAAATCGAGGCCTCAAAGGCGCTTTTAATCCCCGTGGCAGAGCTGGAGAGTGCTGCCGCAGAGCCGGGCGCTTTTCTGCGCAGGGCGGTGGCCGACTCCCCATCTTTGCTTCTGAGCGCCTGCAAGCTACGCGCCAGGGCCACCGGGGCCGACCTCAAGGCCGCCCAGTGTCTTAGCCCCGTCTTTGCCCGAAAGACATCATAGGTCATGTAGGGGTAGTATAGTTCGTGAAGTATACATCGAGCACCACCCTCATGGATAAATGCGATTTGAAGGCAACAACACTGGACGTTTCTTTGGCGAGGGAGTTGGCCACTGGAGCCTCCGACTTTGCCGGCCTGCTCGACCAAGTGCTGGCATCCAATGGTGCCCCCGTCGCCAACAACGTGATCATTCACGATCCGGTCGCCGACGATGCTATCACTGATCACGACTTCGAGATCAAGAACGAGGCACGCAGGTGTCTGGGTCTGTGGGCAGCATGTGGCCGTTTTCAAAAACAACAGAATGGATATTTTGTGCCGTGGTCGCTCAGGACCCGGCCGCCGAGGATGCTATCACTGATCACGACTTCGAAATCCAGTACGAGGCACGCAGGTGTCTGGGTTTGTGGGCAGCATGTGGCCGTTTTTCCAAAACGAGAGAAGGATATATATATATATATATATATATATATATATGCAGTATATTTTGTGCGGCAGTCGTGCAGGGCCCGGCCGTCGACGATGCTATCATTGATCACGACGACGAGATCGAGGACAAGGCCCAAGGGGGTCCAGTTCTTCATATGGGCAACATGTGGCAGTTTCTGGTAGAGACGACATTCGCGACTACATGGGCGCCTTGCTCTTCCCAGATTCTACAAGAGCTAAAAGTGTGTTGTACGTTTGCAAGATGTGCAAAATGTGCAAATGCATTGTGCCACTGCTGGGTCGGCATGACCGCGGAACCCGTTTCATCTGCCTTCTGCCGAAACAAGCATGTGTGTTTGTGCACAACGTGTTCAAGAATATCGAGGATCTGCGCACGCATACGACCGAATACCGTAGGTATCCCAGCAACCACAATGTGCATCTCCTTGTCATTACCAGTAAACCTTCGAATTCAAGGCCTGTAATTATTTCAGGTCCGCCGCACAATGCATTGGAAGAGTTCTGGGGAATGGGTGACCCTAGGTTTCCTTCGCCAGATGTACTTGTTTGTTTTCTGAGTTTATGTAAGTGCCAGCCCCGCGTGAAAAGCAACCTAGGTCTTGCTTGCGGCATTGGGTTTTGTGCTTTGACTCCAACAGGGGGCATCCAGAACTGTCGATGAGTCAGCCCGAGATCCAGTTGCCACGTTTGCTGTATATGATGCTCGAGCTCTGGCAAGCAGATACAATCGCTTTGAATTCATAACCAGCCAAACCCCTCAGCCTCCAACGAGGCTGAGGCTTAGGATGAACTACGTGGTTCATTTTTCTCTCATGTGTGCTCCGGTGTACAGCTGCCCTGCCCGCTTTGCCCCGAATCTTTTTTTTGGCAACTATTGAAAACTCCATTTCCGAAGACGGTCTGCTTGAATGAGTCGACGACGCACGACATTGACCCGTACAAACAACCTGCCTTGGTATGTCATCACCGAATGCGGGCGTCAATGCTACTATGTGCCCACCGTGGCAAGCATTAGATATGCATCAAAGAAGCACGAACTGCCCATAGAAACAATATCTCTGTCTGCCAGAGCCAGTAATGAACGAGCGAGCCTAGACAATGGAAGATGTGCCAAAAAACCAGGCTCAGCATGCCAACAACTTCAGGACTCGTACCAGCGTCAAAGGACGGCCAGACTCAGTCGAGCTACGAACGCCGGCGAGCTTCAAGACTCGGCTGTGAATCGTAGGCTGGCTGCCCGATGTGGAGGATCGGAAGACTACCAACAAGGGCCAAGTCTTGCTGTATGAGGTTCTCAAAACAGAAGCCGGGCGCCTCGCAAGCTAGAATTGCTTGTTGGACATTCTGTTAGGCTACCAGACCTGAGAAACATCTAGCAACGTGGCCCCCGAGCGTTGTATCACTCGCAGTTTTCCTAGCTTCTACTCCGAAGGCCCAAAGCACAATAGCCAAATCAACGGGGTTTAGGGTTTAGGGTTTGGGGTGGGTTTAGGGTTTAGGGTTTAGGGTTTAGGGTTTAGGGTTTAGGGTTTAGGGTTTAGGGTTTAGGGTTTAGGGTTTAGGGTTTAGGGTTGCATCGAGCAAGACGGTCCTCATTGCAACTCGGGTCAAAGCCTGATGCCCATGATCTTGGCAGCACGGCCTTACTTTCAGTGGGTTTAGGGTTTAGGGTTTAGGGTTTAGGGTTTAGGGTTTAGGGTTTAGGGTTTAGGGTTTAGGGTTTAGTGACAGTGTGTCATGTGCTATGGTACTTCAAGAGCACTGGAAAACACGTAGTAGCAGAAATTCAGGGTGAATTCAAGCACTGTAGTTTTTTTCTGCTCCAAGTGGAAACCTTCTACGGCGTCGTCGCTTTGCCATCATGTAGACGCTGAGTAGACTCAACCATGCAGGTTCAATCACCTCCTGCTATGATTGAATTAGTTCTTCGTCCAAGAAACATGTCGGAAGCGTAGATCTGCACATACCACAACACTTGCGGAAGGTGTGTGTGTGTGTGTGTGTGCTATACTGATACTTCGGACCCTGTGCGCCTGTGGAAGGACCGGAAACAGCCAGACTCCACTACAGAGACCCTGAGAAAGCGGTCCGTGACGAGTGAGACGAAGGTGCGGGATCTGCGAAACAGCGCGGCTGCCCAGCTCGACATGGACTATGATGTCGACGAGGCTATGGACAGGTTGGACTTTGGACTTTTCACCCCGAACGCTTCGTTTGGCGAGCTGCTGTACCAGTGCCTGCCCGTCGCATGGGTGGCTGTCGTCTCGCTGTGGCCTGGGCTGTTGTCCAGCTTCCTGTGCATGATTTGGTGTGTCCCCATCCGGGAGGAGGATGTCGTCAGCCTTCGCCTCGTCCCGAATCCGGATGTGGTCTGCTGGTCCAGCGAGCACTTCCCCTCCGCCGCACTGGCCGTTGCTGGCCTCGTGGTGTGGTGCCTGGGCATCCCACTGGTTTTGGCTGCAAAGCTGAGTATGGAAGATCGCGCGTCTCCGGACAAGCACAGGCAGTTTGGCTACTTTTACCAGGGCCTCGAGCTACAGTACTGGTGGTGGGACATACTTGTGAAGAGGGCGGACGTCCTCTTGATGATGCTCGTCACCTACACCTCCGTCGTCCGTGAGCCGGAAGCCAAGGTACTGCTCTTTCCACTCCTCTCAGGCCTTCAGGCCTTGCTGGCTGCATGGGTCAAGCCCTATGCGAACGACCAGGCTCAGGTCCTGGACGTTGTGGAGGTGATGCTCTCCACAATCCGCTTTCTGCTTTTCGGCGCTGTGGCTGCAATGCTCATTTTGAACACCGATTCCTTCACCACCCGCATAGTTGCTTACATACTCTTCTTGGTACTTCTGCTGGCGTGCGTCTACTTCTTCGCTCACCTTGCTTCTCAGATGCTGCGGGATGCAGTCGTGGCCCCGCCCAAGCGAGCAAAGTCGTTGGCGAGGAGATTGCTGGGTGCGGCGCGACGCTTTGCCCTCAACCTTGTCCTGCCTCTTTTGAGAGAGGAGGCCGAGGCGGAGATGCTGAGGCTCACATGGTCTTTTGAAGCCAATTACGTCAGAACGAGGAAGCGCCCTCGAAGCTTCAGAAAGTCATTCCGGGAAATGGGCTCCAACATGAAGCTTGGTCTTCAGCAGGTGCGAGATACAGTACTTCGCACGGGGCCGCAGTTCCAGCATTTGGTGCTCTACAACGCTAACGAGGAGTTCGTAGCTTTCTGGCTACAGCAGCTGAATCAGGATGAACTACCTAACCCTGGAGTAATATGCTCCTTGGCCACGGCTCATGCAAGCCTTCCGAGCCTGATCGCCAGATATCGCATCGGCGGCTTGTGGATGCAGCAGCTGAATGCCTTGACAAGCCAAGAAGGGCCCTTCACCTGCACTCCGCCAGACTTGCAGCGGGCCATTCGGCGCATGAGCCAGATGCCGCAAGCCGATGCCGTGGAGTTGGTTCAGCACGCCATGGGCCTTTTTGCAGAACAAGCTTTCGTCGACGACTGCCTCGAACTGTGAACCAGCCTTTGAAAGTCTGAGGCCTCTGGGGAGTTTTTTTTTTTGGGGGATGCCTTTGCAAAGAAGATGGGGCTTTAGAGTCCATCAGGATCTTCAGTTTACCAGAGCTCCTTCAACAGCGTATCAAAAGTTAGCTCGTAAGATGATGAAGATTGTGAGTACCTAGCCTTGAGCATCTCGCCAGGAGCGGTGTGCCGAGGGGGGGTCTCCAACAAGCCTGTGTGGAAAAAAGGGATGAGACTATTTCGCCAAAACGCATGCAGGGTTTTGTCATGGTCGTCTCATCAGGAGTTCGCGCAGTCCCCTTTTTTCCGCACCGATTTAGAATTTGAGTCTTTGGTCGGCCACGGTCTGAAGGATTCAGAGGTCAGACGTAATGCATATGATTTCGGAGATCTGGTTTGTTTGCTGCTCCGGCCTCAGAGAAGCTGACAAGTTGATGCACGCCTGCACATCTGATGATCTAATGCTGCCAGTGGCACCGGCTCCATGTTTGTTGCTTTCTCGAAATTATGTTTATCAGCTCCTTCA